CTGAGTGAAATCTGGCAACGCTAGGACCGACACCGTGGTCATCGCCTTCTTCAAGCTCTCAAACGCTGATGTGGCTACCTCCCTCCATAGGAACCCGTCTTTCTTCAACTGCTCAGTAAGCGGCCATTCTATGGAACTATACCCCTTTCCGAACCTTCTGTAGTAACCTGTCAGTCATAGGAATCCCCTCAGCTCCTTCAAATTTTTCGGTACTGGCCACCTTAACATTGCTCCAATTTTGGACTGATCAGCTGCCACCCCTCCTTTTGAAACCACATGGCCCAAGTACTCTACACTGGTTTGTGCAAAGCAACATTCTTTAAATTAGCCCTCAACTGGTGCTCCTGCAGTACCTCTAACACCTTTTTTAAGTGCTCCTAGTGCTCCTCCTCTATCCTGCTGTAGATCAGGATATCGTCAAAGAACACTAACACAAACCGTCTGAGATAAGGTTTGAAAACCCTATTCATCAGGGCCTGGAAAGTTGCTGGAGCGTTGGCATCACCAAAAGCTCATAATGGCCTTCATGAGTTCTGAAAGCCGTCTTGGGTACATCTTCCCTCTTCATCCGGATCTGGTGGTAGCCTGATTTCAGTCTATCTTGCTAAAAATCACAGTCCCACTCAATTCATCTAGGAGCTCGTCGATGACGGGTATAAGAAACTTGTCCGGGACAGTCTCCTTGTTGAGTGCTCTGTAGTCCACACAAAGCCGCCAGCTGCCGTCCTTCTTGACCAACAGAACGGGACTAGAGAAAGGGCTGATACTGAGTCTGAGGATTTCTGCCTCTAACATTTCTCTAATCAACTGTTTAATCTTATCCTTCTGGAACTGAGGGTAGAGATAGGGCCATACGTTGATGGGTGATACCCACTCCCTCAAAACGATGGCATGCTCCCTCTCTCGCTGTGGTGGTAACCCCTGAGGTGGCTGAAAAACCTCTTAGAACTGCTGAATCAAAGGCTGAATGGAGAGAGAGAGATGTCGCCTCCTTCCTCCAATCTCGCTCCCTCCAAGCTGTGCAGCTCCACCAAATACCCCACGCCTGCCGACTAAATGTCCCTCACCATGATTTTAAGAGAAACTAGGGATTTGGAAAGTCCTGCATCTCCCTTGATTACCACCTTCTTTCCCTCGACCGTCAGCTCCATCGTGGGTGCTCTCCAATTCACCTTGGTGTCCCCCAAAGTTTGCAGCCATTTCATGCCCAAGATGACATATTTACTCCCAAGTTCCAGCGGAAGGAAATCTTCCTTCACCTGTATCCCCTGGATCGTCAGTTGCACTCCTCTGCAAATCCCCTGAACCCTCTCTATCTTCCCTGTGCCCATCATCACCCCATAACAGCCAGTGTCCACCAATCTCACTCACAGTTGATCAACAATCTGTGTGGAAATGAAGTTGTGAGTCGCCCCACTATCAATCAGCACCACCACCTTCTTGTACTCTATCTCTCCCCTCACCTTCATAGTGTGATTTGTAGTGAATCACACCACTGAGTTCAGGAAAACTTCTGTTAGATCCAAGTGTAGCTTCTCCTTCATCTCCTCCTCTGTCTCTAGCTCACCTCCCTCCTCAGTTTCCTCGTCACCGCAGACAGTGAGAACCTGAAGGGTTCGGTCCTTGCACCGATGCCCTGGTGTGTACTTCTCATCGCAGTGAAAACACAACCCCTTAACCCTCTTCTCCTGCATTTCTTTCTTTGTTAGCCGTTTGAAATTTCCGCCACTTCCCCCTCCTCATGTCCTCTCCCTTGGTGCTTCTCGTGGTCCTCCCTGGGCAGTTCCTTTGGGGGCTAGGAAGGTAGTCGTCATCTTGTAGGATCCCCCAGAGCTACTGCTACGAGCTCCCCTCTCCAGGTGCTTCTGTTCCTCTACCAGCTGTGCCAACTCCATGGCTTCTCCCAAGGCCCCGTGGTCTCATCACCCTGACAGCTGCTCTGATCTCCGGTTTAAGGCCTTTCATGAAGTTTCCCTCCAACACGATCTCAGAGAGACGATCCAGCCTGCTCGCAAGGTACTCAAACCTATCGCGGTAATCGGCGACCGTCCCCTCCTGTGTCAGGGCAAAGAACTGCTCGTAGAAGTTTCCTCCCCTACTGGCTCGGAAACGCTCTAGCAGACAGTCCTTGAACTCCCTCCAGCTTTGAATGGGCCTCCTCATATCCCGCCACTGGTACCAAGCTAATGCTTTTCCTTCCAAACACAGTTATGCTGCTGTTAATTTCTCCTCCTCGGTCAACCCATTGACCGCAAAGTATCGCTCCATCTTGTAGATCCAGCTATGTGCGTCCTCGCCCTCAAAGATGGGCATCTTCAATTTCCTTACCCTCGGGTCTCCCCAGTTTCCCCTCACTCCTCCATAACCTCCCATTCCCCGAGGGGGAAATCCCCAATGGTCACGAACTTCCCTCCGCCGATCATACCCCTGCCCTTCCTCATACTCTTCCCTTCGCCTCTCCTCCTCAGCACCTCGACGGTAAAACTCATCCCTTCTCCCAAAAAATTCAGCACCCCTTCTCTCATAGCCCATGCTCATCTCCTCCCAAGAAAGTGGTTCTAGCGGAGGCATTCCGTCATTCCCATCAAGGATCTCCACTTCGGTAGTCTCCCTCCCCCTCAATGGGTTCAGGTTCCCGTTTCTCCCATTGTCGCCAGTGGCCTCCCTTGCTTATGCTGTCGTCGGGGTTGGTTTGCCCTCTAACATCTTCTTCATCATTTCTTCTAATGCCGTGAACCTTCCATCCATATTTTCATGGATGGACGCAAATTGATTTTGAAATTCAACGGTTCTTTCTTCTAAATCGGTCTTCAGTTGGCCGATTTCTCCCTCCAGAACTTCTACTTTTTGTCCGGCCATCTTCTCTTCCACGGTAACCGAGAATTTCCCTTGCGGAAGAGGTTTCCTTGCTGAAATTTCTGAATTTCAGCCGCCGATGGTCCCAAAATGACGCTCTGATACCAGTTTGATAGGAAATACTTGAGTTCACAAGTAATCCAACTGGATCTACTTGAGTTCGCAAGCAACCTATCAAGAAACGGTAAAAACAGCGAGAAAACACAAGAAAACGTTGTTGGAGAATAATCAACGGAAGAAATTCTTATAACAATCAAAGAGAACAAATAAGAAGCAAAGATACAAGGGATCCTCAATTCGAGAGGAGGATCGTCTCTCCCAAATCTCTAGACAAGATCGTCTAGAGCCCTAGCCTCCAAGAAACCCTAATTCTCAATCAATCAAAACATAATCCCTCATAATCCCCCTCCTCTTACTTAATACAAAGTATTTCCTAATTGGTTTTCCCTCCCTAAGCCCAGCCGCCCAAACCAATTCAATTTTTGAATCAAGTGGGCCCCCATGTGGGCGGGCCGAATGATGGGAGGCGGACCCTGTCTGCCTCCTATAGATCTGAGCCGGCCTTTGGGCCGGTTCTGCCGGTTCCTTGTGAACCGGCTGCACATCCGGTTCCTTGTGAACCGGCTGCACATCATTGTGGTACCAGAACAAGACCTTGTGAGTTAATTTTTTCGTTGGAGTGTTGCAAGTTGTTCGCAATAATACTTGCAAAAGCTATTTTGATGTGGCTATGAGAGCGAAGTATGCCAATAATTTTTCGGGCATGGGAAACCAAAATCAAATCCTTTCAGTTGCTTTGCTCATCAAATAGGCTGCAACTCTGCGTTACCATATCCTTCCTTCTGCTTCACTTGTGCACCTTAGGGTAGGAGAAGCGGAGTCTGAACCCGAGTCTCCTTCTCATCTTTAGGAGGTATGAGCAGGGCCATGCGAGATGATATAAGATAAACATCCACAGCGTTTGAACTTCAGTTGAGGGTTCAGAGCTTGTTGAAGGCACATCTTACAAGAAGCACAAGAAGGACAAATGGCCCATCATAGAGGCTGAAGTGGTCCAAGCCCTTGAATTGATCTTTGGTCAATGTAAGACCTGTGTAACCTACTACAATAACCTCAAATTGATGGTGAAGCTCAAACAAAGGCATTATGACCAATGGTCCAGCCCGCACATTCACCAGTGTGCTCACTAGTAATATAGACTCAATTGATAGTTGTGGCCAATTACTTGTTAGATTAAAGCTTGTGGACATGTGAGGAGCACTATGGTAATATTTCTTCACTCTTTACAAGGTCACTCTCTCCGCCCTACCATAGAGAGATTGATTGATTGAATTTAATTTTAGGTATTTGAATATCTAATCTGAACTTTGATGCTAAATTGATGCATTTATCATAGGGTGATGGATGAAGTAGCCACGAACAAAACTCTTCTGGTGCCATTTATTGATTGCATTACACCTAATACACTTGTTTATTAGTCTACATGCACTAAATAACTCTCCTTTGATCTCTGCAGTATTTGTTGGTAAAATAGGTTGTCAGTACCAGCAATAAATTAATTTGTTGCATCTTTTTTTTTTTTAGATTATGATTTTTTTACATAAGTAAGCTTTGGAAAATTTGCTTGCTATATGTATAACAGCTATATAAAGTAAGCTAAGACATCGGATAGCATATCCAATTCTAATTTGTTGATAGTTTTGTAACATTAACAGGACTGTCCTTAGGGGAATATTGTGAAAAGCAACACAAACCTTTGAAATACTCATTTGACGAATGCGCAATGAACAACATTTATAGTTTCTTATGACAGTTAAGTCTGGTCGGAAAATATGTTAATACAACAACAGTAACAATATCAAACCTTATTTCCACTACGTGCATTAGATGATGTATGCACTGTGCTTGTGGAAAGGAAATTTTCTCATGGGGCTTGACCGGTTGATTTTTTGTCTTAATACTTTTGTTTCTTTGGATGGCATGCGCTTATTTTGTCTCGCATTCTTGTATTCTCTTGAACGTCAATATGGCTATAATTTATTAAATAATGCTTTCTGTGGATGTTATCTCATGAATCTTAAATTTACTTTTAATTGCTGAAATATAGTTTTTCTGTTGCTTAAGACTTTGTACTTTCTTTTCAGACTTCCATGAGGAGGTAGAATCAAACCTCCAGGAGTTGCAATTGGAGAAAAAAGGTTATTGAAAGTTTATCTTGTCAAGTAGTTCTTATAATTTGTGATACATATATTCAGAAGAATGCCACTCTTTTATTTCTCTTGGTTGATAGTTGGAGAAAGCATTTAATCAGTCATATTTGAATTATCCTTAATATATCATTGATGGTACTATCTGTAATCTGGGGTTTCTACATTTCTTTACTGAATTATTTGATTCCTTTTAATAACTTATGAATTCCTCTGTTATTGCTGATTTTGTTTTACTGCACAATTGAAAGAGGTGAAATTGCTCGGACATGAGGAACTTCAAGATCCTGGGGAAAAAGAAGAAGAGAAAAAGCGGCATTTGAATGTCGTTTTCATTGGGCATGTTGGTAAGTGATTCTGCTTGATGAAAGATGTTGCTTCTTCATCATCTTTTGTACATCAGTTTTTTTCGCTGATAATTTGGTCATTAATGGTTGTGCTGCATTCAGGGGCATACATACATATACATACATATATATATACATACATATATATATACATACATATATATATACATACATATATATATACATACATATATATATACATACATATATATATACATACATATATATATACATACATATATATATACATACATATATATATATCTAGAGATTTGGGAGAGACGATCCTCCTCTCGAATTGAGGATCACTTGTATCTTGCTTTCGTATTGTTTGTTCTTTGTTCCCTTATTGCAATCTATTATTTTGGGCTGATTTCGCCCATATTTTGGCTTATTTTTCGCTGTTTTGTCTCCAATTAGTAATAGGTTTGCTTGCGAACTCAAGTATTCCCTTAGGGTTGCTTGCGAACTCAAGTATTTACTATCAAATTGGTATCAGAGCGAGTCTTGGGACCGGTGGAGGGCTGTTGTTGTCCAATTCCAGCAGCAGTTTTTGGCCGGAAAAAGAAGAAATTGCTGTTTTTTTACTCCAAGATCTAGATTTTGTGAATCTACAAACTCCGGATCATAATGGTGGCCAAGAAAGTTGATGCTTTGGAGGAGAAACTCGAAGGAGAGATGAATCACATCAAAGAAACCATGGAGGAAAGAATTTCGTCCATGGAGGGGCAGGTGGCCGATCTCAGGGACATGATGAAAAGAATGTTGGAACTTCAAGCACAAACGGCGGCATCCGAAGCGAAGGGCCCCGAAGCGAGAAACACCAATTCTGAAATCTGAAAGGAGGAAGAAGGGTGGAAATCGTGGAAAGGGGGAAGAAGAAGGCGCTATATGCAGCCTTTCCATAGGGAAGAAAGAGGAGATCGACATGGAGAAATGTATGGATATGGGGGAGCGGAGCAAGGAAGGGCTGAGTGGGAACACCATGAGGGGTTTTACGGTCGTCGGGGTTCTGAATTTGAAGAAAGAAGAGGGGATTTTGAAGGGGGTTTGGGCTATGGTAGGGCAAGAGAAGATCGGGAAACTTGGGGTGCACCTAGCGCTTGGGAAAGGGGAAACTATAGAAGAATCCGAGGCAATGGGGGGATCAAAAGGTAAGGAATTTGAAGATGCCCATATTCGAAGGAGAAGACGTGTATGGGTGGATTTACAAAGTGGAGCGATACTTCGCCGTCAATGGGATAACAGAGGAAGAGAAGCTAACGACAGCCGGATTATGCTTAGAAGGGAAAGCTCTGTCATGGTTTCAATGGAGAGACCAGAGGAGATCGATCAGAAATTAGAGGGAATTTAAAGATTGCATAATAGAGCGTTTTCAAACCGATCAAGGAGGAGACTTCTATGAGCAGTTCTTTGCTCTAACACAGGAGGGATCAGTAGCAGATTATCGGGAGCAGTTTGAGCACCTAGATAGCAGGGTGGAGCGACTCTCAGACACAGTATTAGAGGGAAATTTCATGAAAGGGTTGAAGGCGTTGATCCGAGCAGCAATAAAGGTGTTGATGCCCCGTGACCTAGGGGAAGCCATGAAGTTAGCCTAACTGGTGGAAAATCAGAAGAATTTGGAGAAGGGGGCCAGAAGTAGCAGCACCGGGGGCACGTACAGGATGACGAACATTCATCTCGCACCGAAAGGCCCTACAACAGGAGGGAATAGAGAAGCCACCAAGGAGAAGACAGGAGGAAACGGAGGAAACTTCAAACGACTGACAGAGAAAGAGATGCAGGAGAAGAGGGCTAAGGGCTTATGCTTCCGATGCGATGAAAAGTACACACCAGGACATCGGTGCATGGACTGAACTCTTCAGGTTCTCACTATCTGCGATGACGAGGAAACTGAGGAGGGAGGTGAGGAGGAGATAGAAGGAGAAGAGGAGCTACACTTGGATTTTGCTGAGGTTTCCCTAAACTCAGTGGTGGGGTTCACTACGAATCACACCATGAAAGTGAAGGGAGAGATAGAGGACATGGAGGTGGTGGTGCTAATTGATAGTGGGGCTACCTACAATTTCATTTCCACCCAGGTCGTAGACCAGTTGGGAATCAAATTGGTGGACACAGGCTGTTACAGAGTGATGATGGGTACAATGAAGATAGAGAAAGGTCAGGGGATTTGCATAGAAGTACGACTGACGATCCAGGGGATACAGGTGAGGGTGGACTTCCTTCCACTAGAGCTGGGGAGCACGGACGTCATCTTGGGGATGAAATGGCTGCAAACTTTGGGTGACACCAAGGTGAATCGGGGAGCACTCACGATGGAGTTGATGGTGGACGGAAGGAAGGTAGTAATTAAGGGGGACGCGGGGCTTTCCAAATCCCTAGTTTCTCTTAAAACGATGGTGAAAGATATCCAGTTAGCAGACGGAGGATATTTAGTGGAATTGCACAGTTTAGAGGGAGCAAGAGTGGAAGAAGGAAGAGACATACCTCTCTCCATCCAACTGTTGATTCAGCAGTTCCAAGAGGTGTTTCAGCCACCCAGGGATTGCCACCGCTGAGGGAGCATGAACATGCCATCGTGTTGAAAGAGGGAGTGTCACCCATCAGTGTCCGACCTTACCGCCACCCTCAGTTCCAGAAAGATGAGATAGAGATGTTGATTAGAGAAATGCTGGAGGCAGAGATCATTAGACCCAGCATCAACCCTTTTTCTAGCCCTGTTCTGTTAGTAAAAAAGAAGGATGACAGTTTGCGCTTTTGTGTGGACTACAGAGCACTCAACAAGGAAACTGTACCAGACAAGTTTTTTATACATATCATTGATGAGCTACTAGATGAACTCAGTGGAACCGTGATTTTCAGCAAGATAGATTTAAAATCAGGTTACCACCAGATTCGAATGAAGGAGGATGTACCCAAAATGGCCTTTAGAACTCATGAAGGACATTATGAGTTCATGGTGATGCCGTTTGGCCTTACCAATGCTCCAGCTACTTTTCAGGCCCTTATGAACAAGGTTTTCAAACCTTATCTCAGACGATTTGTACTAGTATTATTTGACGACATCCTAGTCTACAGCAGGACAGAAGAGGAGCATTGGGAGCATTTGAAAAGGGTGCTAGAGGTACTATAGGAGCACTAGCTGAGGGCTAACTTGAAGAAATGCTGCTTTGCACAAGCCAGTGTAGAATACTTGGGCCCTGTGGTATCTAAAGGAGTTGCAGCGGATTAATCCAAAATTGAAGCTATGATAAGGTGGCCAGTGCCAAAAATCTGAAAGAATTAAGGGGATTCCTAGGACTGATGGGTTACTATAGGAGTTTCATAAAAGGGTATAGCTCCATAGCATGGCCACTCACGGAATAATTAAAGTCCTATGGGGAGAAGCAGCTACAACAACATTTGAGAGCTTGAAGAAGGCAATGACTATAGTATCGGTCCTAGCCTTGCCAGATTTCACTCAGACCTTTATTGTGGAGATAGATGCTTCAGGATACGGGCTGGGTGCAGTACTGATGCAGAGTCGCAGACCCATTGCCTATTTTAGCCAAGTATTGACCGCTAGAGCCCGACTGAAGTCAGTGTACCGTGTACGAGAGGGAATTAATGACCATCATATTAGCCATCCAGAAGTGACGACCCTACCTGCTGGGGAGAAATTTCATAGTCAGGAGTCAGGACAGATCAGTGAAGCCTGAAATACCTACTGGAACAACGGATGGTGACGGAAGAGCATCAAAGGTGGTTGTCCAAATTGCTAGGGTATGACTTTGAGATTCAGTACAGACCAGGAGTAGAGAACAAAGCGGCAGATGCTTTGTCTAGATGCATGGGGGAACTGCAGGCAGTGACATTATCCGTTTCTTTGATGCTCGACTGGGAGGCTATCAGGGAAGAAAGTGCTAGAGATGAAGAACTGGGAAGAATCAAGGCAGCTTTGCTAAAAGAGGAGGGTAGCCATCCAGGGAGACAGACTACTATATCAGGGAAGATTTGTGATGCCTCGGACCTCGATCCACATCCCAAATCTACTCCAGGAATTTCAGGGGAGCGCAGTGGGGGACCATTCAGGAGTGCAGAAGACCAATAAAAGATTGGCGGTCGAGCTTTACTGGAAGGGAATGCGTAGAGATGTAGAAGAGATGGTGGCAAGGTGTGAGATCTGTCAGAGGAACAAGTATTTGACGATGTCACCAGGAGGACTACTACAGCCGTTGGCACTACCAGGATGAGTCTGGGAGGAGATATCCATGGATTTCATAGATGGGCTGCCCCGTTCAGAAGGCTTCACAGTAATCTTGGTAGTGATGGATAGATTGAGCAAGTACGCTCATTTCATTCCCCTCCGACATCCTTATACCGCGGTGATAGTGGCTTCAACATTCATTAGAGAGGTGGTCAGATTACATGGCATACCAGAGACGATTGTGTCAGACAGAGATAAGGTATTCCTCAGTCATTTTTGGAGAGAATTGTTCAGGTTACAGGGGACAGTTCTAAAAAGGAGCACCGCTTACCACCCACAGACAGATGACCAAACAGAGGTAGTAAATAGGAGCTTGTAGACCTATTTGAGATGTTTTGTGTCGGAGACACCCAAACTTTGGGCCAAATGGCTGTCCTAGGCAGAGTACTGGTACAACACCTCTTTTCATTCAGCTTTACAAATGACTCCATTCAAGGTGCTGTTCGGAAGGGACCCCCTGACTTAGTACACTTTGGGAGTAGCAGTACTCCAGTCTCTTCCGTAGAGGAGTACTTAGAGGAAAGGGATCAAGTATTAGAGGAATTAAAGAACATCTACTGAGAGCTCAACAGATTATGAAAAAACAGGCCGATGGGCATAGGAAGGACATCCAGTTCGAAGTAGGAGAGAAAGTGTTCTTAAAACTCCGACCATACCGGCAGAAGACAGTGGCCAACAAAAGAAATGAAAAGCTTGCCCCAAGATACTTTGGACCTTATGAAATATTGGAGAAAATCAGAGCAGTGGCATA